CCCGGCAGGAGAGTAGACGGCGGGACCTCCAACGGGACAGGACAAGGGGTTGGCAGGACCCCCGGCAGGAGAGTAGTCAGCGGGACCCCCAACGGAACAGAACATGGAATTGGCAGGAGCCCCAGCGGAACCTCCAACGGCACTTCAGTAGGGACTTGAGTTGGGACTGGAGAGGGGACTCGAGAGGAGACTCGAGAGGGGACTCGAGAGGGAACTGGAAAGGGAACTCGAGAGGGGACTCGAGAGGGGACTTGAGATGGGACTGGAGAGGGGACTCGAGAGGAGACTCGAGAGGGGACTCGAGAGGGAACTGGAGAGGGGACTTGAGAGGGAACTGGAGAGGGGACTTGAGAGGGAACTGGAGATGGGACTAGAGAAGTGACCTGAGGAGGGACTAGGGAAGGGACTAGAGAAGGGACTAGAGGGGGAACTCGAGAAGAGACTAGAGAGGGGACCAGAGATGGGACTATGGCAGCTGGGGCAAGAGCTGGGTCTGGAACCATGGCTGCGGGGGCCAGAATTGAAGCCAGAATCATGGCTGTAAGGTCCGGTTCTGAAGCCGGAAACATGGCTGTAAGGTCCGGTTCTGGAGCCGGAAACATGGCTGTAAGGTCCGGTTCTGGAGCCGGAAACATGGCTGTAAGGTCCGGTTCTGGAGCCGGAACCATGGCTGCTGGGGCACAGGCTGGAATCCTGGCCCTGCGTCTCCTACAGGCCCCTTGGAGACACCGTGGACCTCTACCAGTACAGTAGTCGGATCCCAGGAAAGGGTTAGAGGCTTGAGAAAAGTTTCCAGGACTACTGGTAAAAAGTTGTAGCCACTCAGGCAACAAACTCCTGAGCCAGGGCTTGCGAGCAACCTCCTGGTGTGCCTCCTTCAAAGCAGCCACTCTACCCCGTATAGATGAGGCGTCATCCCACGTATACAAAATATACTCCAGAGAGCACCCAAGACGGTCCGCCTGTAGCCTCAAAAAAGCTGAATCCGCTGGGTCCATATTTGGTCGGTTCGTAATGTCACGGTGTGTGAAGCAGGTAGGACCCAAATGCAGATTAAAGTGAGAATTCCTTTATTTCAAGGCTAGGTGATAACACAGACAGAACAGGACACTCACCGACGAACTAGTCATGACAAAAGACGAACCGACAAAGACAGACAGAAAAACAAGAACTTAAATACACACAAGACTAATCACAGAAACAAGACACAGGTGAGGAGGGAGGAGAAAACACAGGGACACCAGGTGAACACAATCGGGTAATCAGACACACCAGGGAAACTAACGACAGGGAACCACAGACAGATCCAAACAAGACAAAACACAACGCAGACAGAAAACCAAAGACAGATCGTGACAGATGTTGTTTAATGGCTGATATATTTATGATCCACGTCACGTTTTCAGTTCCTCATGTTTGTCTAGAGGTCTTATCATCAGGGCTCTATAAATACAGAACTAAGGTAGATATGTAATATTTAATGCAGCCGAACCGTGTATTACAATGCCGTTATGTGTTGACTTCCAAAGAGAAAAGCAAGCACACTCGGAACAAAGTTTTTTTTTTTTTTTTTTTAAATGTTTTCGGTCTGTTTCCGGTATTTGTTAATGACGATGTGCTGTGAGATGTGAGACTGGAATTGCACAGGGGAAAATAACGTAGGCTATCTTTAGATGTGGATTTTGTTAAACTAATATGTTTGCGCTGTGGACCAACACTATACATTGACGGGGAAGGGGGTAGCAATAAAGATAACACCATTAAACAGTTACACAACATAACAGAAATAATATCGATAGCAGCGTCCCTAGCAACCACCTTGGTAACAATGAAAACGTTCTATGGGCGCAATTTCCTGAAGTAATCTTCGTAATAACTAGCAAACTAAAGATCATGTACATCCACTGCACACATCATCTGAAATAACAACTCAAATTTCTCGTATCAAATGACATCAAAATGCATTTTAAAGCCAAACTAACTTTAAAATAGGCATTTTCCACGAGAATAAAACGAAGTTCGGCCAAGTTTTTTTTTTCTGCAAATGTGAAGATCACGTGACGTAGACGCAGCCATTGGAATGAATAGTGAAAAAAAACGTAGGGATCTTACAATTTCAGAGGCATTTTTGTAGAAATACTACGTCCTACGTTTCGGACCAACGTAGTTATTACACGTTTAGATCATAGACTGTATATATAAAGGTTTAGATGTGAATCTCCAAATTCTCGTTTTTATTCAGAAAATCAAAAACATTTGAGTTTTTTTATGAAAATCTCAAAATTCTCGTTTTTTCATAATTTCTCTAAATTCAGATTTTGATCTTAAAATCTAAGTATTCCGACTATTTAAAAAAAATCACAAAATTCTTGTTTTTTATGAACATTTCTGAATTCTAACTTATGTTATGTCCTCTAAACGCTGCATGTGTTGTTGTTTCTTCATGTGGAACATTTGGGTTTCTATATCTTCTGAAGCTGCTCCTCCTGATGGAGCCTTCCTCTAGGTGCCTTTCTCCAGGAGCCTTCCTCCAGGAGCCTTCCTCCAGGTGCCTTCCTCCAGGAGCCTTCCTCCAGGAGCCTTCCTCCAGGTGCCTTCCTCCAGGAGCCTTCCTCCAGGTGCCTTCCTCCAGGAGCCTTCCTCAGGAGTCCAGGAGCCTTCCTCCAGGAGCCTTCCTCCAGGTGCCTTCCTCCAGGAGCCTTCCTCCAGGAGCCTTCCTCCAGGAGCCTTCCTCCAGGTGCCTTCCTCCAGGAGCCTTCCTCCAGGAGCCTTCCTCCAGGAGCCTTCCTCCAGGTGCCTTCCTCCAGGAGCCTTCCTCCAGGAGCCTTCCTCCAGGAGCCTTCCTCCAGGTGCCTTCCTCCAGGAGCCTTCCTCCAGGAGCCTTCCTCCAGGAGCCTTCCTCCAGGTGCCTTCCTCCAGGAGCCTTCCTCCAGGAGCTCAGATAACGCAGCTTCCTGTTCCTCTAACACGCTCAATACATAAAGTTCATGTTTTCAGAAGCTTTGCTAAAGGTTGTTCGTCACTGACCTTAAACTCAGCCAATAAGAGCGGAGCAGCCAAACCGCAGAATACCTCAGAGTCGCTCTGCAGGAGATCAACACGTCTGAGGGACTCAAAGGAACCCTCTCCTGCAGACTTTCCCTGATGTGTGTGTGTGTGTGTGTTGTCACAGGTGTGTGTGTGTTGTCACAGGTGTGTGTGTTATCACAGGTGTGTGTGTGTTGTCACAGGTGTGTGTGTTGTCACAGGTGTGTGTGTTGTCACAGGTGTGTGTGTTGTCACAGGTGTGTGTGTTGTCACAAGTGTTGTGTTGTCACAGGTGTGTGTGTGTGTGTGTTGTCACAGGTGTGTGTGTTGTCACAGGTGTGTGCGTTGTCACAGGTGTGTGTGTGTTGTCACAGGTGTGTGTGTTGTCACAGGTGTGTGTGTTGTCACAGGTGTGTGTGTGTTGTCACAGGTGTGTGTGTTGTCACAGGTGTGTGCGTTGTCACAGGTGTGTGTGTGTTGTCACAGGTGTGTGTGTGTTGTCACAGGTGTGTGTGTTGTCACAGGTGTGTGTGTGTGTTGTCACAGGTGTGTGTGTTGTCACAGGTGTGTGTGTGTTGTCACAAGTGTTGTGTTGTCACAGGTGTGTGTGTGTTGTCACAGGTGTGTGTGTTGTCACAGGTGTGTGCGTTGTCACAGGTGTGTGTGTGTTGTCACAGGTGTGTGTGTTGTCACAGGTGTGTGTGTTGTCACAGGTGTGTGTGTGTTGTCACAGGTGTGTGTGTTGTCACAGGTGTGTGTGTTGTCACAGGTGTGTGTGTTGTCACAGGTGTGTGCGTTGTCACAGGTGTGTGTGTTGTCACAGGTGTGTGTGTGTGTTGTCACAGGTGTGTGTGTTGTCACAGGTGTGTGTGTTGTCACAGGTGTGTGTTGTCACAGGTGTGTGTGTTGTCACAGGTGTGTGTGTTGTCACAGGTGTGTGCGTTGTCACAGGTGTGTGTGTGTTGTCACAGGTGTGTGTGTTGTCACAGGTGTGTGCGTTGTCACAGGTGTGTGTGTGTTGTCACAGGTGTGTGTGTTGTCACAGGTGTGTGTGTGTTGTCACAGGTGTGTGTGTTGTCACAGGTGTGTGTGTTGTCACAAGTGTGTGTGTTGTCACAGGTGTGTGTGTTGTCACAGGTGTGTGTGTTGTCACAGGTGTGTGTGTTGTCACAGGTGTGTGTTGTCACAGGTGTGTGTGTTGTCACAGGTGTGTGCGTTGTCACAGGTGTGTGTGTGTTGTCACAGGTGTGTGTGTTGTCACAGGTGTGTGTTGTCACAGGTGTGTGTGTTGTCACAGGTGTGTGTATTGTCACAGGTGTGTGCGTTGTCACAGGTGTGTGTGTGTTGTCACAGGTGTGTGTGTTGTCACAGGTGTGTGTGTTGTCACAGGTGTGTGTGTTGTCACAGGTGTGTGTTGTCACAGGTGTGTGTGTTGTCACAGGTGTGTGCGTTGTCACAGGTGTGTGTGTTGTCACAGGTGTGTGTGTGTTGTCACAGGTGTGTGTTATCACAGGTGTGTGTGTTGTCACAGGTGTGTGTTATCACAGGTGTGTGTGTTGTCACAGGTGTGTGTTATCACAGGTGTGTGTGTGTTGTCACAGGTGTGTGTTGTCACAGGTGTGTGTGTTGTCACAGGTGTGTGCGTTGTCACAGGTGTGTGTGTGTTGTCACAGGTGTGTGTTGTCACAGGTGTGTGTGTTGTCACAGGTGTGTGTTATCACAGGTGTGTGTGTTGTCACAGGTGTGTGTGTGTTGTCACAGGTGTGTGTTGTCACAGGTGTGTGTGTTGTCACAGGTGTGTGTTATCACAGGTGTGTGTGTTGTCACAGGTGTGTGTGTTGTCACAGGTGTGTGTGTTGTCACAGGTGTGTGTGTTGTCACAGGTGTGTGTTATCACAGGTGTGTGTGTTGTCACAGGTGTGTGTGTTGTCACAGGTGTTTAACATGATGGATAATAAATGATAAAGAAGCACCTTGACTCGGCTGATGTTGGCTCCGCTCATGCTGCCACTTCTGTCCAACAGGAAGATATATTCCCCTTGGCCCCCCCTCGGGGTCCTGGTGACCCCCCCTCAGGTCCTGGTGACCCCCCCTTAGGTCGGGGCAGAAGTTCAGCATCACCACTGGGTTGTGCAACAGGTCTTTGTGCAGCCGGCGGTTCATCATCTCCACCTGAGAACCAGAACCAGAACCAGAGTCAGAACCAGAACCAGAACCAGAGTCAGAACCAGAGTCAGCTTAATGATAACTAAGAAGCATGCACATACAACATATTAAAGATCAAATAAATCAAAAAAATTACACAATTTACAAAATACACATCCTGTAACAGTTGTGAGGATTTAGCAGCCAGGTGTATATTGCACAGCGACGTGCAGTCAGGGGAGGCAGGGGAGGCAGAGCCTCACCTGTCATACTCCAATGTAACGGAAAAACAACTAAAGAAAAACGAAATAGTAATAATAATAAAATGTCTCCACTGATCTGTGTTGTAAATGTGATTTCTGTTTGATTCCAATCGCTTTTTATAGTCAAAATCAGCAAATTTGCCGAGCTCCGCTACAATTACGGGTAGCGATGAGGAGTGAGGCAGGGACGAGCTCTGCCTCTCGTAACCCCACAGTAACTTGCTGGAGCGCGGGCACTAATGTAGCGCGGGCACTTATTTTGTGAGCGCGCTCCAGCCAGTTACTGTGGGGTGAGGTGAGGCCGGTGAGGCACAGATGAGCTCTGCCTCACCTCAGAATGCGTCACCCCACAGTAACTGGCTGGAGCGCGGGCACTAAGCGCATGCCTGCACCATCTCACTGTATGTCACCAATGTAATGTTTGTAGATCCCTTTATTACATTTATCCTCGCCATCCATAGTCTCTAAATAACTTATTTCACGTATATGATATTTAGGCCCGCTGGTCTCATCGTACAACGGCAATGAAAAAAGCACCAGGGGAGGCAGCCATAACCTCTGCCGCACTGAAGGGGGCGCACGTGAGCCCACAGGTTCTTGTTGCTACTGTTATTCTACGCAGACGCGAACAACAAACTAGACTTTTGAAACTAGAGGAAGATAAGGAGGACTTTTACAAAAAAGTAATAGAGATTGTTGTCCAGAAGGAGAGCATGGACTTCATCTTCAAGTCAAGGTAAGACCACAATTGTAATGAACATGGGATCTTACTAAGAAAGAACAATCCAATATTTAGATGTTGGGTATCCTTTTGTTGAACGGTCTGTTTAAAATGAATTGAAGCATCAGACTAAAAAAGCTTTTGAAAATAACCGAATATTTCGATTAAGGTCAAAATATAATATTTGTAAATCTGACTCTGAAAGAGTCCGTGCCTCACCAGCCATGAACCTCACCGCACGTCACTGATATTGCACATAGTTGGTATTTAACAACAACGAGGGTTGTAGTCTAGACCTGGAGGGGGGGGGGTTAATGCTCTGCAGACAGGAAGTGGGAACATGTTGCCATGGAAACAGGTTTAATGTGACAGTGCTGCTGAGAGAGAGGGCGGGGGGATCATGCATGATATCACTCTCAGTGCTATGTCAGGAGAAAACATTTACACTTTATTATTTAGGTTTCATTTGAGATTTTTTGAATTTTAACTTCTTTTAATTTATATTATAATTACATTATTTAGTATTACTATAATATAATTTTTTTAATCATTTTTTTTTATAGATATTTTTCATATTTGAAAATCATTTGTAATATTATTATTTTTGAATGAAATATTATTTTACTTATTGAAACGTTTTCTTACTCCTACTCGTATCATTAAAGCTAGTATTCCTGATCTTATTATTACTACTAATAATATTATTTTACTATTTAAGTTACCGGGTACCAGCATGCTGGGAGGACCCTCCGCAGCCCAGATGCATGCTGGGAGGACCCTCCGCAGCCCAGATGCATGCTGGGAGGACCCTCCGCAGCCCAGGTGCATGCTGGGAGGACCCTCCGCAGCCCAGGTGCATGCTGGGACTCTCACCTTCCTCAGGTCGCTCCCGTCCTTCTTCACAGCCTTGATGAAGTCGCTGCGTCCGTGCAGAAACTCGTCGTATTCGTCAGGCGTAATGTCGCCGCTCTCAATCAGGACGTGAGGGACGTGAGGCTCTGAGGACACATTCAGAACATCACTACATATATCTTAACTGCACGTCATTAAAAGTGTGTTTCAATATCAATCATTTCACACTGTACGTTTTACATTTATACTCAATCTAATATTTAATATTCCATTCCTCACACACTAATAATGTGTTATTATAATAATAATAATAATAATAATAATAATAATAATAATACATTACACTTATATAGCGCTTTTCTAAAAACTCAAAGACACAAAATGAGACAAACAGAAACCCAATGTTTTGATGGTCAGAGTTTGAATGCAGTGTTGAGCAGGTGGTCTGAGTGATGGTTGAATGTTGAGCAGGTGGTCTGAGTGATGGTTGAATGTTGAGCAGGTGGTCTGAGTGATGGTTGAATGTTGAGCAGGTGGTCAGAGTGATGGTTGAATGTTGAGCAGGTGGTCTGAGTGATGGTTGAATGTTGAGCAGGTGGTCAGAGTGATGGTTGAATGTTGAGCAGGTGGTCTGAGGGATGGTTGAATGTTGAGCAGGTGGTCTGAGTGATGGTTGAATGTTGAGCAGGTGGTCTGAGTGATGGTTGAATGTTGAGCAGGTGGTCTGAGGGATGGTTGAATGTTGAGCAGGTGGTCTGAGGGATGGTTGAATGTTGAGCAGGTGGTCTGAGTGATGGTTGAATGTTGAGCAGGTGGTCTGAGGGATGGTTGAATGTTGAGCAGGTGGTCAGAGTGATGGTTGAATGTTGAGCAGGTGGTCAGAGTGATGGTTGAATGTTGAGCAGGTGGTCTGAGGGATGGTTGAATGTTGAGCAGGTGGTCTGAGTGATGGTTGAATGTTGAGCAGGTGGTCAGAGTGATGGTTGAATGTTGAGCAGGTGGTCAGAGTGATGGTTGAATGTTGAGCAGGTGGTCTGAGGGATGGTTGAATGTTGAGCAGGTGGTCTGAGTGATGGTTGAATGTTGAGCAGGTGGTCTGAGTGATGGTTGATTGTTGAGCAGGTGGTCTGAGTGATGGTTGAATGTTGAGCAGGTGGTCTGAGTGATGGTTGAATGTTGAGCAGGTGGTCAGAGTGATGGTTGAATGTTGAGCAGGTGGTCAGAGTGATGGTTGAATGTTGAGCAGGTGGTCTGAGGGATGGTTGAATGTTGAGTAGGTGGTCTGAGTGATGGTTGAATGTTGAGCAGGTGGTCTGAGTGATGGTTGAATGTTGAGCAGGTGGTCAGAGTGATGGTTGAATGTTGAGCAGGTGGTCTGAGGGATGGTTGAATGTTGAGCAGGTGGTCTGAGTGATGGTTGAATGTTGAGCAGGTGGTCAGAGTGATGGTTGAATGTTGAGCAGGTGGTCTGAGTGATGGTTGAATGTTGAGCAGGTGGTCTGAGTGATGGTTGAATGTTGAGCAGGTGGTCTGAGTGATGGTTGAATGTTGAGCAGGTGGTCTGAGTGATGGTTGAATGTTGAGCAGGTGGTCTGAGTGATGGTTGAATGTTGAGCAGGTGGTCTGAGTGATGGTTGAATGTTGAGCAGGTGGTCAGAGTGATGGTTGAATGTTGAGCAGGTGGTCTGAGGGATGGTTGAATGTTGAGCAGGTGGTCTGAGGGATGGTTGAATGTTGAGCAGGTGGTCTGAGGGATGGTTGAATGTTGAGCAGGTGGTCTGAGTGATGGTTGAATGTTGAGCAGGTGGTCTGAGGGATGGTTGAATGTTGAGCAGGTGGTCTGAGGGATGGTTGAATGTTGAGCAGGTGGTCTGAGTGATGGTTGAATGTTGAGCAGGTGGTCTGACTGATGGTTGAATGTTGAGCAGGTGGTCTGAGTGATGGTTGAATGTTGAGCAGGTGGTCTGAGTGATGGTTGAATGTTGAGCAGGTGGTCAGAGTGATGGTTGAATGTTGAGCAGGTGGTCAGAGTGATGGTTGAATGTTGAGCAGGTGGTCTGAGGGATGGTTGAATGTTGAGCAGGTGGTCTGAGTGATGGTTGAATGTTGAGCAGGTGGTCTGAGTGATGGTTGAATGTTGAGCAGGTGGTCTGAGTGATGGTTGAATGTTGAGCAGGTGGTCAGAGTGATGGTTGAATGTTGAGCAGGTGGTCTGAGTGATGGTTGAATGTTGAGCAGGTGGTCAGAGTGATGGTTGAATGTTGAGCAGGTGGTCTGAGGGATGGTTGAATGTTGAGCAGGTGGTCTGAGTGATGGTTGAATGTTGAGCAGGTGGTCTGAGTGATGGTTGAATGTTGAGCAGGTGGTCTGAGGGATGGTTGAATGTTGAGCAGGTGGTCTGAGGGATGGTTGAATGTTGAGCAGGTGGTCTGAGTGATGGTTGAATGTTGAGCAGGTGGTCTGAGGGATGGTTGAATGTTGAGCAGGTGGTCAGAGTGATGGTTGAATGTTGAGCAGGTGGTCAGAGTGATGGTTGAATGTTGAGCAGGTGGTCTGAGTGATGGTTGAATGTTGAGCAGGTGGTCTGAGTGATGGTTGATTGTTGAGCAGGTGGTCTGAGTGATGGTTGAATGTTGAGCAGGTGGTCTGAGTGATGGTTGAATGTTGAGCAGGTGGTCAGAGTGATGGTTGAATGTTGAGCAGGTGGTCAGAGTGATGGTTGAATGTTGAGCAGGTGGTCTGAGGGATGGTTGAATGTTGAGTAGGTGGTCTGAGTGATGGTTGAATGTTGAGCAGGTGGTCTGAGTGATGGTTGAATGTTGAGCAGGTGGTCAGAGTGATGGTTGAATGTTGAGCAGGTGGTCTGAGGGATGGTTGAATGTTGAGCAGGTGGTCTGAGTGATGGTTGAATGTTGAGCAGGTGGTCAGAGTGATGGTTGAATGTTGAGCAGGTGGTCTGAGTGATGGTTGAATGTTGAGCAGGTGGTCTGAGTGATGGTTGAATGTTGAGCAGGTGGTCTGAGTGATGGTTGAATGTTGAGCAGGTGGTCTGAGTGATGGTTGAATGTTGAGCAGGTGGTCTGAGTGATGGTTGAATGTTGAGCAGGTGGTCTGAGTGATGGTTGAATGTTGAGCAGGTGGTCAGGTTGACAGGTGGTCTGAGGACGGTTGAATGTTGAGCAGGTGGTCTGAGGGATGGTTGAATGTTGAGCAGGTGGTCTGAGGGATGGTTGAATGTTGAGCAGGTGGTCTGAGTGATGGTTGAATGTTGAGCAGGTGGTCTGAGGGATGGTTGAATGTTGAGCAGGTGGTCTGAGGGATGGTTGAATGTTGAGCAGGTGGTCTGAGTGATGGTTGAATGTTGAGCAGGTGGTCTGACTGATGGTTGAATGTTGAGCAGGTGGTCTGAGTGATGGTTGAATGTTGAGCAGGTGGTCTGAGTGATGGTTGAATGTTGAGCAGGTGGTCAGAGTGATGGTTGAATGTTGAGCAGGTGGTCAGAGTGATGGTTGAATGTTGAGCAGGTGGTCTGAGGGATGGTTGAATGTTGAGCAGGTGGTCTGAGTGATGGTTGAATGTTGAGCAGGTGGTCTGAGTGATGGTTGAATGTTGAGTAGGTGGTCTGAGTGATGGTTGAATGTTGAGCAGGTGGTCTGACTGATGGTTGAATGTTGAGCAGGTGGTCAGAGTGATGGTTGAATGTTGAGCAGGTGGTCAGAGTGATGGTTGAATGTTGAGCAGGTGGTCTGAGTGATGGTTGAATGTTGAGCAGGTGGTCTGAGTGATGGTTGAATGTTGAGCAGGTGGTCTGAGTGATGGTTGAATGTTGAGCAGGTGGTCTGACTGATGGTTGAATGTTGAGCAGGTGGTCAGAGTGATGGTTGAATGTTGAGCAGGTGGTCAGAGTGATGGTTGAATGTTGAGCAGGTGGTCAGAGTGATGGTTGAATGTTGAGCAGGTGGTCTGAGGGATGGTTGAATATTGAGCAGGTGGTCTGAGTGATGGTTGAATGTTGAGCAGGTGGTCTGAGGGATGGTTGAATGTTGAGCAGGTGGTCTGAGTGATGGTTGAATGTTGAGTAGGTGGTCTGAGTGATGGTTGAATGTTGAGCAGGTGGTCTGACTGATGGTTGAATGTTGAGTAGGTGGTCTGACTGATGGTTGAATGTTGAGTAGGTGGTCTGAGGGATGGTTGAATGTTGAGCAGGTGGTCTGAGTGATGGTTGAATGTTGAGCAGGTGGTCTGACTGATGGTTGAATGTTGAGTAGGTGGTCAGAGTGATGGTTGAATATTGAGCAGGTGGTCTGAGTGATGGTTGAATGTTGAGCAGGTGGTCTGAGTGATGGTTGAATGTTGAGCAGGTGGTCAGAGTGATGGTTGAATATTGAGCAGGTGGTCTGACTGATGGTTGAATGTTGAGTAGGTGGTCTGACTGATGGTTGAATGTTGAGTAGGTGGTCTGAGGGATGGTTGAATGTTGAGCAGGTGGTCTGAGTGATGGTTGAATGTTGAGCAGGTGGTCTGACTGATGGTTGAATGTTGAGTAGGTGGTCAGAGTGATGGTTGAATATTGAGCAGGTGGTCTGAGTGATGGTTGAATGTTGAGTAGGTGGTCAGAGTGATGGTTGAATATTGAGCAGGTGGTCTGAGTGATGGTTGAATGTTGAGCAGGTGGTCTGAGTGATGGTTGAATGTTGAGCAGGTGGTCTGAGTGATGGTTGAATGTTGAGTAGGTGGTCTGAGTGATGGTTGAATGTTGAGCAGGTGTCAGGTGATGGTTGAAGTTGAGTAGGTGTCTGAGTGATGGTTGAATGTGAGCGGTGGTCTGAGTGATGGTTGAATGTTGAGGCAGGTGGTCTGAGTGATGGTTGAATGTTGAGTCGGTGGTCCTGAGTGATGGTTGAATGTTGAGCAGGTGGTCAGAGTGCTGGTTGAATGTTGAGTAGGTGTCTGAGTGATGGTTGAATGTTGAGCAGTGAGTCTGAGGGATGGTGAATGTTGAGCAGGTGGTCAGAGTGATGGTTGAATGTTGAGCAGGTGGTCAGAGTGATGGTTGAATGTTGAGCAGGTGGTCAGAGTGATGGTTGAATGTTGAGCAGGTGGTCTGAGTGATGGTTGAATGTGAGCAGGTGGTCTGAGTGACGGT